GCAAAAAGACATTTATGCAATAATCATGACTTTTCTTTCCCATCTGTTTTAAACCATGGACTTAAAAGCCTGACTGTGTCTGTATTAGTGTTTGAATGTATAAAAAGAATGAACAGGTGAAAGAGATCGGCTGCAGGCTCAAGAGAAGGAAAATAAACATCAGAAACAGAAAGAAGGCAAAACCAGAGATGGGATACTGTAAAAGAGTGAAACAGGAAAGAGTGGATATCGTTTGATTATATTCTAAAATTCATCGGTGAACGTTCCGACTGTGTGCTTCTCTGCAGATGTCACGATCTACAGGAGTCTCTCTTGAGCTCAGCCAGCGGCTACAGCAACTACATAGGGATCCTCAACTGGTGTGTTGTCATGCTGGTGAGTTAAACCGCAGTACATGTCCACGCAGAAATGAAAATGTACACCAGCGTGGCTTCCAAAACTGCATAAGATTTAGAAAGTAAGACCCTCATTCAGCTAAATCTTACAGGTCTGGACAGTCCTTGTTAGTCTTTCCTTCTGCCTCAATACTCACTGTACTGCCATCTAGTGGTGTAGATGTACAACTCCTTGTGTTTGTAAGCTGGAGCTATGGATCAAAGTTGGATCTGTAGTTATATCACTGTGGATTCATTTTAATACACCATAATGAATAAAATAAAATTAAATGATACTTGAAATTTAAATTGTTGTCCTTATTCCTCTGCCTGTGTTTTTTGAGGTGCAATTGTAGCACAGTCCAACGGGTCAGCAGTTAACACCAATGTCTCCTACCCAGGCAACCTCACAACAGTCTGCACAGTTAGTGTTGATGGACGCTTCTACCAACAACACCGAGAAAGAAAGTTAGTGGGTCAAAATGTTTGCTGTGTAAATATTAATTTGTTAAAGTAGTTTACCTGGGCCAGCCCTAGTTGTCCTGTGTACACATCGTTTCTCACAAGCTTGTATTCGTTTTCTAAACATTCAAAAGTTCCAGTATCAAAGTCAGAAGGTATAGCATCAAGTCATTAATGTGGCACTCTGATGTGACCTGTTTGTGGTCACATCAGACAATCGCTCAACAAAATCCAAGGTGTTCTGGATGTGGTGTTCAGAGCTGCCTATCAACGGGTTGAGGATCCAAGCCAGAAAAATAGAGATGTTATAGGAATTTATGAATGAACATGTGTAGTAGATTTGTGGTCTGCTTTCTTATGACAGCTTGCCTTGCATACAGGTCTCACAAACATGGCAGGATTTACCTTTATTTCATGCTGTAATGTGGTAGTTAAAAAAGCCTCTTTATTAATTTGGAGTCATAATGAAGCCTTAAAAAACTGCGCTGCATGCACTTCTTCATGAAAGTAGCCACAAGGGGGCAGCTTTGAGCCAAGATGATCAGAGCTTTCCTTAAATCAGTGGCCAGTTATTCTATTTAAATTATATAAGAGCTCATTGTGGTCCATTTTCAGGTCAGTGTGAGACTTTCTGCTGAATTACAGAGTGCTGAGTGTTTTAGATAGATCTGTGGGTTGTTCTGCGTCCTGGTGCGTTACTATGGTAATGAGGCTATGATTGAGGAGGCTGCTCTTAAAAGTGAGGAAGTGAATTCCCTCCTCTGTGTGTGTGTGGCCTGCTTAAGGACCTTTGAGGAAGTCAGTTAATGTCTCCCAGAGTTTGTGGAATGAGGAAGTAAAACACAGATGATGAATGATTCTTTCAGAGGACTTTTATTGTGAAAATGATCAGGAATAAACTGAAACTCACCTCAAATTGTTTTTATTTGTGGACATGTTTGCACATTCCTATTTATGGAGCCCGGCGTGTGTTACAGGAATACTAATATGCTGTTACTGTCCCTAATACATATATTAAAATTATCTGGAGCCTATCAGTGATCTAATGGAGGAAAAAAAAACAATATCCTGTGGCCACTTTGCACTAAAAAGGCCCAAAGCAAGCCAAGAAAATTCCCCCCAAACCGAACTGAAGAAGCTTCTCGGATGAAGGTGAAACGTCTTCAAGCAACTTAAAGAAGTCCAGACGCTTTTCTTTGCAAGCTCCTTTGACTATGATGACCTGGATGACTGAGAACCTTCACAGACATATTTCCCCCGAAACCATTACACCAACACTAGCAGCAGAAGCCTTAATCATATAAGGAGGGATGTTCGTGAGCTGGTGCAAGTCCTAGCTTTAGTTTCCTGTTTTTGACTGACTGACAGACAGAGTGTGGTCTTCTGCTGCTGTAGCCCAGGTTCAGAGATCCTCTTCAGCACACCTTGGTGGAAAAGCAGTTTGTGAAAGCTCAGTGTGAACTTCAGCAGGTCGTCTCGATCGTGTCTACATCCCTAAGTTCAGTTGCTGATGGGCTGATTTTGATATTCGCATTAACAAGCGGTTGAAAAGATGAGCCTAATAAAGTGGCCAGTGAGTGCATATTTTAATGAAATTTTAAAAGTGTGTAATTCTTCCTGATGACATCCTCCTCGCCGATCATAACAGTCAGGTGTAATGGAAGCTCCGGCACCCAGAGAGCTGTAAATAGACACCACTGTGCAGGCACACGTGTAACCGAACCTTTCCCAGCAGGCATTGCTGCAGTGGACGTTAACTCCCACCTTTCTCCCTCGCACTGCCACCTAAACCACAGGCAGGTTACTTACCCTGACCCTGGTGAGAGGAAGGAAAGGAGACGTTTCACTAAAACGTTGATCCTCTAAACTAAGCCTTTATAAACACTGGTTTAAAGGACATCCGGTTAAGAGCATGTGTACAGAGTGAACCATCACAAAACTATAACTCCTTCTATAAGTGAAAGCTGGTGTATAAATGAATAATGGCTGACCCCCCTCTAAATGCAGCTGCAATACTGGCAGCGCATTATTACCTTGTTTTAAAATGTCTTAAGCCGTAGATGCTGGTTTTGCTTATTGTAAATTGCATTTAAGCTTTAATGAGTAATAAATCTTAAGTTAAGGCAAAAATGTGCCTTTCCAGGGTGTGTGTGTGTGTGTGTGTGTGTGTTACCATCCTCAGCTGCTGCTATAGACCAGACAAAGGAACTTTCTACCCAGCAGCTACAAAGCACCTGTGCTTGTTGTTTTATTGCTTATCTATAATACGTGGGTAAATGATCTAACCACTCATAAATAAAGCCTTTCATATTATTAGAAGCTGAAATGAACCATTCAAATTGAGATTCATAGATGGGTTCACTGATGGAAGTGAATAACTTCACCGTGCTTCTGCAAATGCATGCAAATCTGATGAAAATGTTTTCCCTCCCCAGTTTTCAGCAGTAACTTTCCTGCCAGAGCTGCCTACCAAGTCGCTGCTCTCCCCAGAGTGAGTGTTAACCACAGCTTTAGAACTTTATTACATTATGATACACCCACTTTAAAGTCCCTGCTACTGTGCACATATGGATGATGTCATAAATTTCATTTTTATGCTGATCAGAAACAGAAAGGTTGAAAAAGGAGGGATTTGCATTTTATTTTAAACCACAAATTACACCATTAATCATGTTTAAATGGGTTAAATCTACATTAAACATCAGGGAAACAGCTGTGTGTGTGTGTGGGCAGGGGGGGGCGGGGGGGGAAGCACATCCTCACAGTTTCAGAGAGGCTGAATTCAGAGAGTGCAGAGGGTAAATAGCAGACACATGCTGATAATCAAATGCACTGGATTATCTGATGATCAGCAAGTGTGAACACCTTTTGTAAAAGCAGAAGTTTTGGCGGTTTGCTGGTTTGGATCATTCAGCTGTGTGTTATCAAAATGCCAAGCAGGAACATTTGTAATGATCTTATAGAAGCAAATAATGCTGCCTATCAGTCTGACTTTAAGAGAGCTGTATATAAACAAATACCTGCAAACTTCAATGAACTGAAGCAATGCTGTAAAAAAGAGCAAGGCCAAATTCAAGTTATTTCTGCTAAAGTTGGATCTACAACTACAGAGTCATGGAGGATCACTTGGTTTTTCATAGGACTACAGAGATTTGTACAAAAACCCTTTGGGAAGGGGTTTGAATGACTGTGTGTGTTCATTTTTGGACAATATTATCATTTTATATTTTGCCTCAATCTGCTTCTCCTCCTTTTCTCCTCAGGGTGGACTGGTGGAAATTGAGGCAATCATTGTTCTCTGTCCTCTCTCCGACTCCAGACTAGCCGGCCGCATCACTAACAAGCTGTAGCGCCACCAAGTGTCACTATAGATTCACTGTGGAAGCCTGATTGTATTTCCAGAGAACACCTGAAGAGCCACGTTGAATTTCACCAAAGTCTTTTTCAGTGTTTCAATATTTAAATTTACAACAGAGCAACATTCAGTTGTAACTAGTAAACAATTGCTATGAACAAAAATAATTCAAAGCAATTTCCATCTTCTACAAATCATTAGAAGAAGATAGACAGGATACAACCTTTTACCTTAAAAAGAAATGGGAAGCTGAACTGATCATAACTATAACAGAGAAGGAATGGGTTAGTATGTGTGAAATACAACACAGTACAACGAATTCACCGTTGCAGAGGAAATTTTGCTGGAAAAATTTGACGCGTTTACATTCAACATTAGACTGATAGGGTGTAAGTATGATAGACAATGCAGGAAGTGGAAAGCATTATTAAATGGCACCAAAAACACAACATAAAGAGATTTGCATGTGATAGAAGGTGGAAAAGGAAATGTAAACTCCAGACTGTTTGTTTGTTTGTAATTTTCTTTACTGTATCGTTTTCAATACTAACTATAACTAATAAAAATTAAAGTTGAAAAAAAAAACATTCAGTTGTTAACACCTCAGAGGCTGCTCATTAAACAGACAGTAGGGATCCAGTAGGACTGGACACTCGGAAAAGCCCCAACATCATCTGAACCTCCTCTTAGCTTCTGGTTTGATAATTTCACTCATTAAAAAAATTTAAAAAATGCTGTATCACAGTGTGACATGTTTGCTTTCATCCTGCATCAAATTAAAACACAGAGAATATGTGTACTGGGTTTTATTTTAAGGTGATCTTTTTAATTTTTCAACAGCTTATTACAGATTACAGATTTTTGGGAATACTAAAAATCATGACACATCAGGAAAAAACCCTCTTAGATTTACGCCTACTTTAAATATGATAATAAAATCAAAGCTAGCTACCCCTCACCCCCCAAAAAAGAAATATAATATCTTCTAATATCTAATATACTTTGGCTTTAGTTTTCACAGAAACAAACTCTTAGGTTTCAAGAATAAGTTAAGGACATACAGTTTATGGTGCTATTTCATTACAGATAATAAATAGTAATCTAAGCTTCTCTCAGCTGTTACAGATAAACAAACCTAAGTGCTGTTGAACTCTATTCACAGTCTAAGAGGAGAGACTGCAGACATCCAGGAGGAGGAAGAAGGCACAGTGGTGACTGAGCACCCGGACTCAAAGTGGTTTCCACGGGGTCTGGATCTTGGCAACAAGACAATGTCTTTCTCTCTCACACACATACACACACACACGGACATACTTTCACTCATGCGTGCAGATAAACTCCTCTGTGCACTCGGTCATGTCGCACGTCACTCACTGGGAGCTGGAAAAGAAACGCAGAGAGGAGGACGCATATTGGAAGAGTTCAAATACCAATTTGTGGATCATGTGACATAAAGAGGAAACTGCTCACCAGGTGTCTCGTCTGTTTTGGGCTCTGAGTCAGTCGCTCCGGCATCCCCTTTTTCTGTTTAGAAAGACAGCAAATTAAGACATGAACAAGCTGTCATATTTAAGCTGTGTTCTTCTTATTTTGGCCTTTAGGTGCTGACCACACACTACTGTCCTCCTCTGTCCACACAGCTGGTATAAAATCTCCTGAAAACACTTGTCCCCAGTGTTACTGCACCACACACACACATTTTAGATCAGTTTGTTTAAGGTGTCAGGTTATGTTATGTGAGGTTTATTAGCCCTATGACAGACTGGCAACCTGTCCAGAGTCTGTCCCAACTCTCGGCCTGTGACAGGTGTGGTGGGCTCAAGCAGAAGAACAAGGACTTTCACCAAGTCAGAAATGTGAAATAGCTCGATGGACTGTTAGGATACCTGCTGCCAGCATTCTCGGTTGCCTTATGATTACATTTTTAAAATATATTTATTTAAAGCCCATATTTTGACTGGACAGTGGAAAGAAGAAAGGAAAACTGGGAGGAAGACGTGTAGTAACTGACCTTGCGACAGACTAAGACGTGCTAAGCTATTGTAGTTTAGAGTTAAAAAAATATAAACATAGAGCTGGAAAAATTGTGAACAGAAATCGCCCCCTTTCAAATCTAATCCTGTCAGATTTCCAGCTTGCAGCATAATGAACACAATAACCAGAACCAAGTTGAAGTGTTAGCATGTTTGCATGCAGACAAACAAAACATCCGACTGTGTTACAGCACACTCCCAAAGTATTGTTGTAGTCTGAAGTGCAGATTTTGCGTGAACTTGAACTAAAGCCTCCCTCCCAAACAGAAAAGGAAATTAATCTCCACGCAAACACCTTTAATCTGAAGGTGTTAAAACTTCTATTGCAGAACTAGGAATAGCAGATTTCCAGCAAGTCGTTCCTTAAAAACAACCTGTAGCTGCGTCAGAAGTGGACGAGCCGCTCTGTCAGCTCTGCTTATGTGACACTCGATCCTCTCTCTCCCCTGGCTGTGAAATGGAGGCGTGGAGGCTCAGCCGTCCCGACATCGCTCGTCGCTGGTGGAAGCCCTATATGTGTTGGAGCGCTCTAGTTTCTATGTGGACTCAGATTGCATCTTAATGATACCACAGTGACAACAAAGTGTTGGCAACACAAACACATGTTCCATCCAGCATCTCTACACAGGGCTGTGGCCATATTTGAACTCAAAGTGAGTGAAGTTGGATGGCGCAGGGGGTGAAGATCATGATTTTCTAACTATAATGATTAAATGATGAACAGTTAATCTGTGAGACACATCTATGAAGATTTTATGGAAGCAGTACTTCATGAATATTTTTTGTAGAAATTTTATTCCACTTTTGGAAACTCTAGGAAGCCTACAGTCTGAGAGCAAAGTGCTCTGTTGGGATAATATGGCTGTATGAGGTCTATAGACATGATGGGGACTAATCATTCAGTGCTTTGGATGAGAAGGATTCGGTTCTGGAGACGCTAATATGGTCTCTCTTTCCAGTTACCGTCAGAGTGTTTAGACAATCTGAATTGTAAAAATATCACTATAGTCTAGGACTATGAATGTAAGTCTAAGAATAACCTTTTAAAATTAAAAGTAGAGCGACTATCTGTCTCCTAAACCCTGACAGCTCTAGGAAACTCTATTAAACACAAGTAAGCCAGCAGGCTGAGAGCAAAGTGAGGTCTTTAATATTTGATGGGGCCTGATTATTCATGATTTTGCACGTGAGGAGACAGATTTTAAATTCAAGTCTGGATTAAAAAGGGAGCCAGTGAAAAAAAGCCAATACGGGAAAAACATGCTGTCTCTTTCTAGTCCCTGTTAGCGCTCTCACTGCAGTGTTTTGGATCAACTGGAGGCTTTTCAGGGAAATTTTAGGAAAACCTGATAAGGAAAAGGAAATCCAATAGTCAAGTCTGAAAGTAGCACATGCATAAACAGCATTGCTTTGAGACATGGGCATTCACGCTTCTATTTTGTGGCTAAAAATTACTCCAAGAATCATCACAGATCTTAGACTGAAGACACAAGAATACATTTTTAGAAATAAGCAACATTCACTTAATTTCCCCTACTACAGCAGCATCGAGTCTTATAGAAGCTAAAACCAAGCTAAAGTTTGGTGTTTTATGTTTAACCTGCCACCCTGCTCGGCCCGCTTTACTGCAATGAACACTTTGCATCAGACAAAGAGGAAAATGAAGTTGACCTCATCATCATTTGCTGCCTGCTCGTCATTTGCATCACTAAGTAACTTTGTGATAGCAGTGAGTGCAATGCTGCTCTTGTCATGCAGCTTCCTACAGAGCGCTTCCATGTATAGATGATCGCTGGGGGACAGGCATGCAGAGCTATTATCACAATGCAGCTCTGAAGAGCCTGCTGAGGTGCTGTCTTGGAAGTTACAGCAGAAATTTCTAATTTAGAGAGTCCTACTCACAGCAGAGGGCTGGGAGGCAAAGCAAACACAACAAATGCTTTATTTCCAAGTTTAAATCACACAAATATCCTCAATGCTTTTGGCCAAACAAAAGCTATCAGCTATTTTTTTATCCTCTGTCAAAATGTCAAATCCCTTTAGTGACAGCTGCCAGGATATAAAAAAAGTTACATTTTACAAGCTAAACCCTCAACAACATCACACTTTGTGTGTGTTTCAGTCAGTGAAACTTTAACAAGTAGTCTAATCCACGACTACACAAAAGCGTGTAATTAAAAGAATTCATAAGAAAATTTAACCTGATCAGTTAAGCTTGTGCAATATGCAGACAGATCCTTTAATAGGTACTGATCATAGGTGTGACCTGGAAACGCATTCTTGTGGCCACCCCGGTGTGTTCATTAGAGGCCAAAGTCATGCCAGTGTGTTGTTGGATACTGCGTAGTTACTACAGTTGCGGAGGAACTAAAAGCGGAAGAGACATTACGTACCTGTGTACTGCGGCATCCCACGTTGAGGTGGAATAGCACCGCTCAGGTTACTGATGTACATTTTGTCCATGCCTTGTTTGGACACATTAATTATGCGACTACTGTGCTAACTGGTTCAAGAGGTGTCAAGAGAGAAAATCTTCCACTCCAAATGTTCTGAAGTGTCATTTTAAGCAACCCAACTTATGCACGCACACACAGGTTTCTGTCCTTGTCTGCCCGATACGTTTCACGAGGGTGTGAGCAGCGATTCCCATAAATTTTCACCTTTGCATGAATTACAACGAGCATTTCTAATGTGCATGTTTATAAGCTCAGACTGAAGATACAGTGGTGTTGTCATGTGCAGAAGAATTCAAACTAAAACATTAAAACATTACAGAATCTAAGAATATATGTAGTAAAAGGCCTTTTGTGAGTAGATTTAATCTCATTCCTGTTTGTGACTCCCGCCTACCTGGCTCTGGGGCAGGAGCTCCAGCCTCAGAGGAGCTTGCTGCTGTCTCAGCGGTGCTGTCTCCTGCTGCTGCTGCTGAAGTCTCATCAGGCGGGCTGCCGGCTGCATCCTGAGACTCTTCTGCTGCTGGTGGAGTTGCAGCTGTGGTGTCTGCAGACGCGGCTGTCACGGCAGGCTCTTCTGCAGGCTTGGCATCGCTTCCCTCAGCAGCTGTCTGGTCCGGAATAGTTTCACTGTCCTCAGCTACATTCCCATTTTCATTGGCCGCTCCTGTTAGCAGAAAAAAGCACGAGCAAACATTCATTCAGGCCGTTTATTTGGATAATATGAACAGCTAG